GCAAAAATTTAATATTGCGATATTCAAGAAATTTTCAAAATACAGTATGTCACGATATTTATTTTTTCGGACATGAGAAAAAACAACCAGTAGTGCTACATTTCTAAAAAAATACTATATGAAACCAATGATTTTTATTAAGTATTTGGCGCTAAATCCAGTTAAACGGGACACATTTTGCTCTCTTTATAATAAAACATGCAGTTTGTCAGTGTCTACAAGTAATGACGATATACACAATATATTCAGAAAAGCATTATTAAATTGTATCGTCACATTATTTATCACAATAACAACATATATTGTCTTATACAACAGAGTTCCGGTCCTAAAATCTGATTGGCTGAGCCGCGTTCAAAGCCATAGTAAAATCCACGATATACCCAGAGCTATGACCACCTCACAGCGACTGAACTCTGTATTACTGCAGCTCGGCACGAAAAACCCTTGTGTTGTTAATGGAATAATCTTTAACTCTAATGTTGCTCGTATGGACCACCGAATATACTGATGAACCTGTTTTTGTTTAAACTGAGGGGCTGGAGACTCATATTCTTAACTAGAACTAGGCTGGTCAGTTGGCTAACAGGCTAAAAGATAGCAAACATGCTAAACAACTCCAACATGAATATCACAGGTTTGAATTAAAGTTCTCACGTTATGATTCACTGAAAAACTGCAGTATGAAAATCTTTAAAAAATCTCACTGAAATGGATTACATGCTTCAAAAGTCCATATTTCAGTCAGAAGTAGCATCAAACCCAGGCTGAATCCCAAACGGCCCCATACTCCCTAAACAGTGTTCTAGCTATGAAAGTTTAGAAATTCTAGCCCCTTCAGCCAAACAGTGCATCGTTTATCGAGTGTGGATGTGTCTAAGTCCTAAAGGACTATTTCTTAGCTGTATTTTGCTCTGTTGGGCTGCAGGATCCAGTATTTAAATTCCAACGTAGTGCACTATGTAGGGAGCAGGGAGCAATTTGAGATTCAGCCCAGATGTGAGAAGAGGGCGTCGCTGGATTGGTGCTAAATAAGACTCGTGGTGGTAGTTCAGTGACCAAAAAGTGCTTATAAAGCCAAAATATTTGTATTAAACAGTGGTGTGTTAGCATATGTTTATCGTTGTACAACAAAAAGTTGAAAAATTCATGAAATGACTGCAATATACAGCGATGGGAGACCAAACGTTCTCCTCATTCAGTGGTCCATGGTTGCTTGGTACTCTAAAGGAACTACATTTCTTGGCCGATTACTTGTTTATGTCGATTATTATTAACAAATGTGCATTTTATTATATTTCATGTTGGCCGCCGTTTTATAAAAGCAATAAGCCATTTGAGACCATGCATTATTGTGATTTTAACACAGGGAAGGGAGTTTTAGGCACTATGCTTCGCGTCGCACTTAAGATTACCCTTCCAATGATAAAATCACAGTAACCCACAGCCTCTTGAGGCTTATTGGTTTAATATAGCCCAGCCCTATGAATAAATAAATGAAAAAAGATGGTTATAATGGGCTCCCGTCCAACACAGGCTGTTAATGTTTACAGACTCTCTATAATTGGTCCAAATCAGTTGTCCAGTGTTCTAGAAGTGCTGATCACCCCATCATATACTCAGAAAAGAGTCTCTTGATGTAATTTATCACAGTAACCATGACATGATGTCATATTGTTTCTGCAGATGAACGCCAAACCTCGTACATGGAGAGGGAAACAGCAAAGCTTCCGTAGCTCTGCCCGCTGGGGGCGGGGTCAAGTGGCCAACGACGCCCAATCAGAATTTGGATGGAGCCCAGTTCGTACGAGGCGTAACAGTGACGCTGCTTCTGAGATGTCATGTGCCTGGTGACCAGCCAAGAACCAAATCTACAGTCAACCAAAGTGTGTCCACTCCAAGATCAGCGCGCTCCAGAATTTCACACTCACCGTCCACTTTATTAGAAACTTCCTTCTACTTTGTGCTTCTACTAACTGGCCACTTTATTGGAAACACGTACTTTGTGCTTCCACTAACTGGCCACTTTATTGGAAACACCACCCATAAGCTTCCACTCACTGGCCACTTTATTAGAAACACCTACCTTGTACTTCCACTCACTGGCCACTTTATTAGAAACACATACCGTGTACTTCCACTCACTGGCCACTTTATTGGAAACACCTACATGACTGTCTCTGTGGTGAGAAACTGACTACTGATGAAGGGCTGGAGGATGGCTAACACAAACTACATCAGCAGATGAGTTGTAGTCTCTAACTGTATACTAAAATGGTGGAGCTACGAGAGAGGGGTTTCTGATAAAGTGGCCGGGGGAATGTAGTTGTCAAAAGCATGTTACAGTTCAGCATCTCCGAATCGATAATACGCCAGTAGTGCTGTAATTTCAGGATAGATGAACACAAAGAGTACAAGTTTGCGATGAATAATGAGATTTTTTCACTACATTTTCACTTTGAACTGTACCGTCAGTGTGTTTTATACAGTCACCGGTTGAAGAGTTTAGTATGTTGTCTGTACCTGTATTAAAAATAAAAAGAATGGTTTCTCTTGCAGGGGAGGAGTGCAGTATTAATGTCTGATACTGTAGCAGGCTTCTCAAAGGAGAAGTGCATTTCACTTTAAATGGCAAAAAACCGTGTTGCTACATTTTTTACTTTACTGTTTAAAGGGGTACTCCACAGATTTTTCAGAATTTCCACATAAATGTTTAAGATGTAAATAGACTCATTCAGAGTGGTTTGGTGTGAAACGCTCCGTTCTAGAGAAACTTGCCAAGTCAGAATTGTTCACAGTGGTGGTGATAGGAACCAGACGTCCATCTCTAAAAGCTCCCTCACAGACAGACCCTTTTTTTCTGATTTTCCACTATTTACTATCATCATTACATATAAAACTCAGGAGACACGTGTAGGTTCACTGGTGGTTTTGGATAGTAAATGAAATGTCTATATTTGTGTTGTAGGTTTTTCTGCAATGAACCATTCAAGGATTGAATTATGTAGAAATAAAAAAAAGGTTGAATTACCCTTTAAGTAGTTTTGATAGATTTATATTTTATATATTATATATTAATATATAATGTCTATACCATTATATATATGTATTATGTATATTATGTATTATTTCTATGGTGTATATTATATACTGTAGCAGCCTTCTCTCTCTCTGTCTCTCTCTCTCTCTCTCTCTCTCTCTCTTTCTATATATATATATATATATATATATATATATATATATATATATATATATATATATATATATATATATATTACTTTTACGAACCTACAGCAGTTCACAGCAGCACTTGGACTGCTTTTTGAACAAGTAGCCTATCTGAACAGAGGTCGTTAACGTCAGTCTTAAAGGCAACAGAGCAAAAGCCTGATTAATTCTAAGAGATAAAGAGATGCTGAGAAATGATCGTGTAAAAAACGAATTATGACTATTTGTGGTACACAAACATACACAAATGTCATGAATGTTCCTTTGGGAGAAATTTACAACACGAAAAGTGTGGGATATGGGCCCTTTAAAGGCTCTCTGCTCTAATTCTAACAATGCTCAACAGAGGGCGCCACTGCTGCATTTCACTGCCCAGTACAGTGTGATGTGACGGAGCTGTTCCCGACTCGGTGGTAGTGATGCTAGTTTTCGAGTTTTCTGGAGTCGATTCCGAGTTGACTCGTGCCGCTGGAATCAATGGAGTCGACTCCTTGACTCACTTTAACCAAGACAGTGGAAACAACAGAGACCAAACCATCCCAAAAGAAGATTACCCAGTTTTAGAGGAGCTTCAGATGACGGAGAAATGATGAAAATCCAGCTTATTTCGCAGGAGAGGTGGAGTGATGAACTTTCTGTAGTCTTTGAAAAAGAAAAGTTGGATGTTATCTTGATCCTCTTTTAAGCTTCATAGTCGCCCCTTCCTAATGAGCAAATCTCAGCTACCTTTCATTTCTCCACAACTTTTTATGGAAAAAATTGTTTGTTTTTGGTTTTCGATCCTTGTTCAGTTTCTAATTGTTTATTGCGACCATAATCGTAAGGAGTATGGGGAGCTGCCCTGCAGGACGGATCGAGAGCGGTTCTGTGAGCAGAGTTTGTGCTGAGTAGCTGCTCAGCAGCGTTGGCGCCGTTTAAATCTGACTAAACCAGCTAAACAAAGTCAGACTCTCTCCTGTATTACAGCACAGAGCAACGAAGGAGACCTGCTGACTGTTCGTTAGTAAGACGTGGCCGCAAATTAATATATTGAGGCCACAAATTAATATAATGTGGCCACAAGTTACTAAACTGAGGCCACAAATTACAATATTGAGGTCATAAATGAATATACTGAGGCCCCCAATATTATATTGAGGCCACAATTTAATATATTGAGACTGCAATTTACTATAGGCCACGAATTAATATACAGAGGCCACAATTTACTATATTGAAGTCACAAATTGATATATTGAGGCCACAATTTAATATATCGAGGCCACAAATTACTATATTGAGGCCAGAAATTAATGTACTAAGGCCATGATTTAATATATTGAGGCCACAATTTATTACATTGAGGCCACGACTTACTATATTCAGGTCACAAATTAACAAACTGAGGCCACAAATTATTATATTGAGGCCACAATTTACTATATTGAGGTCACAAATTAAAATACTGAAGCCACAATTTACTATCGGCCACAATTTACTATATAGAGGTTACAAATTAATATTTTGAGGCCACGAGTTATGAGAAACTTAATTTGTGGCTTCAATACATTAACTCGGATCCTCAATATAGTAATTAGTGGTCTACAATATATTAATTTGCGGCCACGCCTTATTAAAAAATAATCACCATGTCACCTTAGGGGCTCCGTATTACGAAGAGTCGACTCCAAACATTTCGAATCGTAGAGTCATTGGTCGACCCCGACTCTCAAACGTGTTTGGAGGCGAAGTATCGATTCTTTTGGAATCGACTCCCCATCAGTATTCGGAGGGCTTTTGGACCCGGGAGGAGGAGCAGAGGCTTTAACGGGGTTATGGAGCAGCAAAGAAAATCACGGAGTGTCCCATTTCAGACCTGAATTCCGCTGATCTCCCGCTTTTCGTCCATAAAGAAGCGCGGTCTGTTACTCTGCCTCACGATGTCCGTGCAGTTGTAGAGCTTCTCCTGCGCAGAATGGCCACTGCAGCCGCGGAGTCCGAGCAGGTCGAGGATGAAGAGCACTGGCTCTACGGGGGTAAAGACAGCCTGTACACCCGAATAAACCACTGTGACACAACATCCACCTCTTTACGAAAGCACAGCCTTCCTTTATAACCTTCTGGCTACAACAGCAGCCTTGTTAAAACGTCGGAATGAGCAGCGCATCCCGCGAAGCTGAAGTTAGCTTCTTGTTCGAATTTCCCGTTCCACCTTAAATGGTGGTGCAGATACATTCATACATGTACAGGCGCTTGAATGGGACGGCCTCACCGTTTAAGGTGGAACGGAACATTCGAAAAGGGAAGCCAACTTCACACCTCGTCCAGGCACTGCTCTGCTGTAGATGCTTCAAACAAATATATACACCCCCTTAACTGCAAGAGAATATATATATATATATATATATATATATATATATATATATATATATATATATATATATATATAATTGAGAAATTGCTGCTTCGAAAATACCAAAAGATGGTTCTTCTAGGGTTCTTTGGTAAAAAAAAAAAATGACTTCGTGTAGAATTATAAGTTCTATACAGAACCATTTTCTTTGCATGGTGAGCTGGTTCTTCAGATTGATGGAGAATGTGTTGTATATGGTTCTTTAAAGCACCGAAAAGGATCTTCTACTGTTGCTTCAAATCATAACAGTAGCAGAACCCTTTTTGATGCTATATAGAGCTATATACAACACATTCTACATTAATCTGTGGAACTATTTCTCCATGCAAAATACAACTTAAGCATGCAAATGGTTCTATATAGAACTCATGGTTCTAAATGGAACAGTTGCCTTACTAAAGAACCAAGATACGGCGCAAAATTAGCATTATCTCTCATAGTCTTCCGCGGAGCATAGCGTTAAGAAAGCGAGACCAAATTGTATATTATGTTACATTATGAAAGATAATATGCTGGTTCTGATAAAGAACAGAACGCATGCAGTTCTGTAACACGATTGGAACTATTTTTTTTGCTCCGCTGCTTGTTTTGAATGTTGTGGGTAGTGATGCGTTTCTGTACGTCATTAGTCCTACTTTCCTCCCGCTCGGGCGGAGGAACACAGGGAGCAGAAGTTAGCTAGAAAATTAGCATCGTGCTAATAGATTAACAAAACATGAAATACCGAAACTTGAAACTTTTCAAAGAGTATGTTAAAGGGGAATTCAAACGATTTATCAAAATTTTTGAATAATTCACTGTTTGAGACGTAAACAGAGTCGTTCAGAGTGGTTTGGTGTGAAATAGTTGATTGAAGAGACTTACGCCGCGTCCCAAATCGCATACTAACACACTAAATAGTGTGTAAAAAAAAGCGCATATAACAGTAGAAGTGCACTCATTAGTGTAGTGTGCGAAGTACCGAAGTGTGTGGTTTGGGACGCGGCGTCAGATTTCTTTACAGTGGTGGTGATAGGAACCAGGGGTCGCCATGACTACAACACAAATATAGCCATTTTATTTACTGTCCAAAAGCCACAGTGAACCTACACGAGTCTTCTGAGTGTTTATATGTGATGTTGATGATGGTAAAATAGTGGAAAATCTGAAATAATAATTTTCTTTGGGGACTATTTTGCCTCACAGTGCCCTGCATGTACCCCTCCACCATGAATGGTTTAAAACAAATGGATTAACAATAAGGCTTAGGCAAACACTTTATCACAAAACGATGATAAAACAATGTTTCACACATTAGGCAGCGTGTTTGTCGCCATTTCAGGCAATAACTTTCTGTGAGGGAGCTTTTAGAGATGGACGTCTGGTTCCTATCACCACCACTGTGAACAATTCTGACTCTGAATGACTGTATTTACATCTTAATGATTTAATTATGTGGAAATTTTGAAAGATTGGTGGGGTACCCCTTTAAAATATGCATTATTAAAATATGTAATAATCTGAGGATGTGATTCGTACAATTTTTATTTGGTCTTTAATTTTAAGGTATATAGCTCAAAATTAAAAACAGGATCGTTTTAAACCCAAAACTGGAAGCAGTCATATGACAAGTGGAGGACTATGGCTGAATCTCAAATGGCTACCTGCTCCCTATAAAGTGCACTGCGTAGGTCATAAAACAATTGTTCTACACCCAAATAGGACTCTAAATGTTAAGTAGAGAGTCCTGCTGCTAAAGGCTGTATATAAATGGCTTTTTATCTGACATATGAAGCACTATTTCATTGTAGAATCCATTATTTCATGACCTACATAGTGCGCTACATAGGGAGTAGGGAGCCATTTGAGATTCAGTCTATGAGAAAAACTTAATTTTGAAGGGAACAAAAATTATAAATGAAGTAAAAACCCACCATGTTAGACTATTCCTTTAGACAAGGCTGTGATCCACACTTTTACACTTTTTAGAATAATAAATTCAAACAAATTAATTCCATGAGTGCATGAGATGATCAGGTTATTGATGAGTTATTGATATGTTATTGTTATTTTATTATATTATTATAAGCCTTTCTTTGTATTCCACCAGATGAAAACTCCAAGAATCAGGCTGTAAACGATGAAACGAGGTAAGGGAAGTCTTGATCTGTTTTGTTCAATTAGCCACTAATTATTATGTATAAAATAAATATTAAGATGGTCATTTTCCATTTGGCATATGACCGTTAAAAATCACACTTTTTTAAATGCTGTCAAAGTTAGTTTGTTATACTTGATTGTGCAAATAAAATGTTATTTAATTATTCTCTCACAGTAAGTAACGGAGCCTTAAACATTTACAAGGATTATGTTATGTTATATCTAAACTCAAGGAATTAATAGAAATATTAATAAGCTTAATATATATACAAAATGTATCACATTTATAGGGTACTTTCTATTGTGAGGTGTCTGTCCGAAACCCTAACCCCTAAAATGAAGTTGAAAGATTTAGATTTATCCTTTCATTTAAAATTTTTTTTTTTTCATGTCACTACTGAAACACAGACGCTGTGTCCCAATTGCGCAGTTAATACTAATACTAACTAGTGTTTGAGTATGTAGTATGTAGTATAGTCACAAGTGTCAAAGTTGAGTATACTCAAAAACCCACAGTGCATACTTAGAACCAGTCGATTTTTGGGTACAGTAATGATGGACACTATTGTCCCACAATCCAGCGGGAAACGGAAAGGGAGGAGCTGCAGTCGTAGCGGCACCAGAAACGGTGTATAAATGTGAGTTCATCCCAAATTTGTAAAATATTCTGTAAAAAAACAAACATGTTACACTTACTAATGTTTTCATTTGTTAGCGTTTCTGTGAGAATTTTGTTTGTGTACACACGTTAATTTGTTAGCTAGCCTTCAGAGTCTAGCTTGCTATGATGTGCGTTGTCATAGCAACGGTTCATCACTTCCTGTTAGTAAGAGTGGTGTAGTATGTTAAGGTTTTGTGCACTAACCTGTCGAGCTCATACTGTTAAGATTAGTACACAGTATATACTGTACAGTATTAGTGTGTAGTACACAATTGGGACACAGCCAAAGTCTATAGGCGGAGGCTTATTTTAGTCACCCCCCTGCATTTCAGAGCAGGAAGTGAGACTGCATCCCTGTCCCTCATGGCCACATGGCGAGCAGGTAGATCCCATTGTTTTGAAGTAATTGTGTCCCAAAGTCTGAAAATCAGTGTGAAACATTAAAAATTGTCACTGCCGAAACATATTTTCTGCAGTTAAGTAACGTTTTTGTGTTTTAATGTAAAATAAGGTGATTTTTTATGCTCACAGCTGGTCAAACCTGTGTTTGCTGGTCAAAATGAGCTAAAATTGTCTCTACCGAAACAGTCACTACTGAAGCATTCGGTAAAGTTTAGGTAATGTTATGATTGTTTTGGTAGTGATGAAATGGAATGGTCAATCATTTATTTTAATAATATGAACATAATTAAGGTACACAATCACTCCATGCAAAAGGATTTCAGTCTGAAGTCCCAAAGTTAAAAGTCCCAAATGTGTTTTCAACCCTGACTGAACCAGTTCAGCAAAATGATCCATATATTTCATATGAAATCTTCTTAAAGGCTTAATTGTTTATTTTCTCCTAGTAATGTATTTTGGAATCTTTGAAAGCCTCCACATGATTTATTACTGTTCTCTTAAGTCCATTTTATGGAGAGGAATTAGTGCCAAATTGAAAAAACAGTCACAACAGTGGCTAAATGTGAAATGCGGTGCACACTTGGCCTTAGGTTTCTATAGTGACATGGGGAACACGTACCAAAATGAAAATTAAACCCTCTATTACATTGTTTCTGTTACATCTTTTTACTGAAAAACAACGCATGAGGATTTGAATTTAAACATTAAATACTGAATACTGAACAGAAGTGAATACAATTCACCTTGAAATGTAAAGAAGGCAGGGCTGTGTTGCTTTCCACTGTGCTGTATAACAGATTTGCCTAATTGAACTGCAGTCATAACAGTGAAATGCAGTGGACACATGACTTTACCACAGGTGACATGCAGAATATGTGCCAAAATGAAAAGCAAAACCTCCGCTACAGTGTTTTCACATGGCTTGACCTGCATCAGCCTCATTGAAATGCAACCAAAACAGTCAAATGCAATGTACACATGAGATTGCATTTAAACGAAAACGTGCCAGAAAGGAAATAAAAGATCCACTACATTGATTTAACATTGCGTTCTGTACAGTGGAAAGCAGTATAGCCATGTCTTTATTACATGTCAAGGCAGATTGTATTCAATTCTGACAAAAATTCAGTATTTGATGTTTAAAATGCAAATCCTCATGCACAGTTTTTCAGTAAAGAGGTCAAGCGAGGTGAAAACAGCATAATAGAGGGTTTGATTTTCATTTTGGTATGTTTTCTGTGTGTCACAATGTAAAAGTAAAGCTATGTGTGCATTGCATTTCACATTGTCCACAGTAGTGACTGCTTTTCAATCTGGAACCAGTTCCTCTCCATAACTTTAATTGTTTGGCCTTATTTAAAAAAATAATAAAAATAAAATATTTTTAAAACATGGTGAAATAATTGATCAATCATTCAATTAATAGTAGAATTGATTGTGACAGCTCTAGTTCTCTCATTATGTAGATTATTTGTGTTGTATAAACTGTTGTATTTGCAAAGAAGCATTTGCTAAATATACTGATTCACAGTGAGTTTCTGTTCATGAGACTGAAACCAATTGCAGTGCCTGCTTTGTCCTCCAGAGAGACAGAACCTGCTCCTGAGAGCAGCAACAGCACGGAGGAGAAGAACGACACAGAGCAGGTACTGACCAGAGCCAGTTTATGAGGAGCCTGGCCACTTCCTATTTCCCCCGTTATATCAAAAACAGGACTGCAAAACAGCAGAGGGCGTCCGCGAGCGAGTCCTCAATGAATGGGAGTGAATGGAGCTCAACGGCTAAAAACGAAAAGTTAGAATAGTTTCTAATCACTAAATTAATTTTAGAAAATAGGAGGATGTATTTCACTAAAAAAGCAAAGAAAACTGACCTATATTTTCCCTTTTTCCTACAGTAAACGGCTTTTGGGCAGCAGAATGCTGGCATTTCTGCTACTGAGTGCTGATTGGTTGGTGAGCGGAGCAGCTCATTGGCTGTTCACGCTCACTGACGTCATGAATATACATGAGGCGCCATTTTAAACTCCTATAACTCGAGTTTAAAAGCTCTTAAATATGTAACAATGGTGTTAAAATGTTTGATGCTGTTCAGTGTTTAGGAAATGATTGTATTCTTTCATCTTAAAAATGTTTAAGCATTTATAAACTGTGACTTTGCTCAAATGCTCCATATTAACCCATTCATTTTGGACTCGCTTGGGAGCGCCCTCTAGTGTTTGAGAAACCTGGAGGACATTACAGAGTGGTAATTCTCCTCTCTACAAGTTCTCTGGTACTGACAACTGACACAGAATGACAGATTCCTGATTGAACAGATGTGAACAGAGGTGTAACTCTCTGACCTCACAGCTGCTCTGTTCAGTTATGGGTCGGTGTTATGGGAAAAATACAATCACAATAATTCAAGACATTTTTGCAATACATAATATGCATATTTTTCGAGGTTTAAAAAGTTTAAACACAAAAAAAGCAACATTAGTGCCACTTGTAAAAAAGTATAAACAAAAAAAAAATGTAAATACATTGATTTTATTCAGCACTTCATGTACTGTACTGCACTACATCTACCTAAACAGGGCTCATGATGCTCTCTTTGTAATGAAACATGCAGCTGTTCAGTGTTCTTAACAATAATATCAACAATATATTCATAAAAACATGTTGTGACATAGTTTTTATTACAATAATAATAAAATGTCATATTGCCCACCCCCTTTAAGGATTTTTTAGGAAACAATTAATAAAAAATTATGAATCATCCAATTTCACCACCATTCATTTTATTTCCATTATTTTGTTGCAATTTATTATAATAGGTATATAATATATGTGTATAAAATAATAAATATTTTATATTTTAAAAAGGCAGAGATTTTTTATGTTAAATTATGCAAAAAATGAGAGTGTACTTTACTTAAATGTTATCAACTATTATTGATTATTAAACACATGACTAGTACAGTAATGATACACTGGATGCAACATGAAAGTCTCAAATGTGGCTTTAAAGTGGTTTTAATAGCAAATAACATCAAGAATTTCATTTTTTTCGATCAGGCAGCTAAAAGTGCAGAGGATGAGGAAGAGGAGGACAGTGACAGCGATGATGAAGATGATGTCAAGGTCACCATCGGCAACATCAAGACGGGAGCTCCAGCTTACATGTATGCTGCAGGTTTTCTGTCTTGAAATGATCATCTAAACTCTGTACTGTTAAAATTATATTTGAATTACTTAAGAAGTCTATATAACTTCTATATAAACTGCATGCATCCCGTTTATTTTGAGCATTAACCATTTTTATTTCGTAGAAAAGTCAAATTATGTTTCTTGTCATCATCCTGCTGACATAAAAATCTCATTACATATTTTTTTGAACACTATTTGAAAATGCAAGTTGGTTTTGAGCTGATAATGGTTATTATTATGATTGTTTCTGTGACAGTGAAATGTAATTCTACTGTAATTTGATTGTTTTTTTCACAGGGGGTCTGGAATGAACCTCAGCATTAAACCAGTGCGAGGATATGGAGTGGCGGCTACAAGTAAGCAACTCTCTGTCACTTCTGAAACAAGCTGAAAGATATTTATACCACTATAATTAATTTTCCCTTGTGGCCTATTTGTATTCTCCATACGCCAAAGTATAATAAAATCCGTGTGAAGATTTTATGGGTATTTACAGCACAGAAGATACGCAGTTAGATCTCCTTTTGATCTTATCTTTATAAAGCTGTGTTCTGTATTGTTTCTTCATTGTCGCTGTGGAGCAGATAAACTTCAGTGTAAAGGTGTGGACATGGAGTCGCTGAGCGGCTTTAATGGACTCCATGCGGTTGAGGCGGAGGCTGATACGTATGAAGACAAACCCTGGAGGAAGCCAGGTAATAAAATCACTGATTGCATCAGGGTTTCTAACTCAAATCACCTGGGGGGCACTAGCACTAGAACGGGAGTGCAGGAAAAAGTATGAATTTTAACATAAGGTTTTTAATCTAATGTTTTAAACTGAAGAAAAAGTCCCATGGTTTTTTCAAATATAAATGTTGACTGATTAACATTACACTAATTTAAGTCAGTGTTTCTTGTATCTCCATTTTTGTCATTTTTCAGTTTTTGACATAATTTGAAAATGCCTGTTGCTTTTAAAATTGTGTGTAAGTTTCATGATGAATGGACCAAAAGAAATGACCAAAATGGCTTAGAAAAACTCTGGTTCCATTGACTTAGATTAAAAGTAAAGTATGTTTTTTCCTTCTCTTGTAAAGGTACCATTTCGGAGATACGAGGTTTTGTTCTAACAACAGTGATATACATGTATATATATATATATATATATATATATATTTAGTTGCTGTCCAAAGAAAAACAAGTATCTCCAAAATAGTAATTTTACAGGAGAAAAAAAAACATACTTTACTTTTAATAGTTTATTCTTAAGTATTCTTTAAGCAATTTTAAGAGCATTGCTATTGGTCCATTCATCAAAATGGATATATATATATATATATATAGTATAGTATAGTAGTTTTTTTGCATTTATATCAACTAAACTTGCGTTTAACTGAATTACATGGGGCTCTTATTGTGATAGTATTGCGGTTGCTGCTAAACAGTACTAAAGTGTGTCAGCAGTGAAATCTTTGTTTTTAGGGGATTCATTTGATAATTCCATTCATTTCTTAACTGAAGGTGCTGAAAGTATCACTTGAAAAGCCACTTAAAGCTGTATTTGATTCTATCAGAGCAACATTCTGCGTCTGCACTGCGCAAAAGCAAGGCTTTCTTTAAAAATATTTATTCCAGCAGTAAGTATTTTTTCCAGTGAAAGCTTTACATAACATTGGAGTAAATACAAAATACAGCAGAACACTGCACTTCAGCCACTGTGTAGATTTCTTCAGTTCCATCAGCAGCACCTGATTTAATTTAGTGTAGGACTGATTAGATTTTCCATATTATTTATTTATCGACATATATCTGTATTTGCCTGTGTATAGGTGCTGACCTGTCGGACTATTTTAACTACGGTTTCAATGAAGAGACGTGGAAGGCGTACTGTGAAAAGCAGAGAAGGCTTCAGCTCGGACTTGACCCCTGCCTTCCTCCCAGTTTTGAGAACAAAATCACAGTACTGTTTAGAAATATTAAAGACTGATATCATTTTATCTTCTCTATCATAAGAAAACCTTGCAACATCCCACGTTTTTAAGCATTGTCATTACATTGTGTGAACATTTCATGACGAATGAATCAACAGATATTTTAAAAAAGCATTTCAAACTTTTTATTAGTTACATTAACAGCTGTTAAGAATATTTTTCCTCATCCCGTAAAGTGATACAGGGTTTTCGTATGACTGTACCAATATTCAGTAATTCGTTAATTCATTAACGTTAAACGCTGTGTGACAGACTGCCGTTTAGTTGTGGTTGTGATGTCACAGCACTTCACCAGCTCTCTGTTATTTGGTTACATTAGTCCATTTTAAGCAAGGTTGCTGATAATGTAGACTGTAATTAAAAATGCAGTCAACTGATTTGAAAATTGCATCTTTCAAGTTGTGATTTCAGTATTAATATGATTAATCCATCAGCCCGAAACTACAGCTGTAATATATCCAACGCTTTTCTGCTTCCGGGGTAATAATGAATCTTTTTTATGTCTCCTTCAGGTCCAGCAAGGTAGAACGGTCAGTTTGGAGAAGGAGGCTGAAAACTCTACGGTCAAACTGGATTTCAAGACTGACTTTTCTACGCAGGCCATAACGGCGTCCAGCAGGCTGAAAGCTGGACCTCCACCCAACAGGTGACGCATTCACTCCTTCAGAATATACAAAAAATTACAACTTCTCACTACAGACGCAAAAGTATGGAAACATGCAATGATTTTATTATATTATAATAAAACAAAAAATAACTTTTATTATAATATTCAAGTGCAATCACATAATTACGTAGTTGCAAAATTAATTAAATTTACATTTGATTGAAGTTCAGCTTTGAGTTTGCACTTCTAACTTTTTTCTTTTTGTTTCAATATCAATCCGTCACAAAAAAAGGTGTCAAAAGTGTAAAGGATGTTTTTCTTTTCGCAAAACAAGCCTGGGCACGCGACAATAACATTTCATCAAATTCAAATCCTGATAAACATCTCCTCTTCTACTCATCTTTAAAGTTCAGAGTCTGCATGTTCAGCACAATCTCTCCACTAGTTTCAATGTATAATTTTATGTTCGTATAAAATTACAGCATGTTCTCCAAACTGCAAAAGATATATCTTGTCAAGTGAAATTATTTTAATTCTAGTCGATATATGTAATATTTCTTGTTTTGAGATGGTTGTGCACTTTTATAAGATTATTTAGCTTATTTATAGACATGTTTGCCTGTTTTGGGTGATTTTATTAAGTAAAATTATCTCACTATAGTGGCAGATAATTCATCTTGTTTCAGGCACATTTCTTAAAACAAGCACATTTATCTGCCATTATAGTGAGATAATTTTACTTAATAAAATTACTTATAACAAGTAAAAATGTTTGGAAATGAGTTAAACAATATTAAAATAAGCTTACAACAATCTGAAGATGAGAAATATTGGATATATATAACTAGATTTAAGATAATTTTACTTGACAAGATACTATTTTTTGCAGTGCGGCGATGACCCCTCCTTCTATAGGTTAACCAAAACAGTTTGTTCCAGATTAGAGCCTGAAATGTTTGTCTGAACATGATGGGACCTGATGAAAATTCACAAAATACAATGTTTGTGTTCTGTGTTCAATATGTTCTATTCAGATTGTTTTGTGTGGAGAAATGGAGATTTAGTATTTAACAGGCGAAGTGAACGTCTCACTATATCAGCACAGTGTGAGACAGCGCAGTGTGGAGAGTTTATCCAGACTAAAAAAGTTTGAGATGCTGTTTAAATCCTTATTTGACAAATAAATTTGTTAAAGCAGGATTTAAATGTGATTTTGATTTTAGCTGATTGTTTTATGTTGCATATTGTTTAAAATTTTACTTATCTGTGCTGAATTGACAGCTGTTATTGTCACTCCATCATAACCAGCGCAGCACAGTTTTGGGCAGAATTTGTTTTGCTCGTGTTAGTTTCAAACTCATTGCACTATGATGTGGTTCGGGTTGGATTTGGACAGAAAGGTGCTGAGCATTGTTTGTGTTTGGACCCAAATTTTAGGCCTGATTAAAGCTCTGTTTCAGAATATTCCATTGGTGTTTCAGTGCTGTACTCTTATGCATTTATCAGTGCATGAACACATTTAATCAAAAGCTAAGCTTGTTATCTCTAAAAACTATACACATATATTTTTGTTATGTTTGTTTTTTACACGTTAGGGCTGTTTTCTCACTTTTAGCCTGTGGTGGATATCATTATCACATTTGTTTCTTCTCATTTTTTCCAAGTACAATCACTTTTTCAAAAATATTCATATGATGATTCACATTCAGCAGTGACCGTCACTCTTTGGTGTCACATTGCTGTTGAAACAAAACCTTATATCTCTAAAATGGTACCTTCCAAGTGTTTCTGGACAATTTCATTATGCATCTTCAAACAGTGTAAAGCATTGCTTTTCATTTTATAAAAAATGGCCATTACATTGTGCACTTTCTGATGTTTTTTTGTCTGTGGTTATCATTTAGGCAGGAGTGCCACAGGGTTCTATATTGGGGCCTCTGTTGTTCACTTACATTTTAAAGTCCTCTGCAGTAATGGTTTAAATGCTGATATGTACATGCAATTAACATTATCATCTACTTTTGTGCTCCATCTTCAGCAGAGCCTCTTTCTATTCTGTTCTGTTCTATTCTTAGAAAATCAGACACAGAAATGCTTATTGCCACAAATATACACCTTGCAGGGCAGGCCAATAGTATTAGATTTGTTGTGTAAATATATAAGTTTGGAAAGTGGACAGTTATCTGTTTTTTAAAGCCCAAATTGAGCGAATGCTAAAGAGGCTCAAAATGTAAAAAGTCAAAAAAATTATTTTAGGAACAGCTCTTGATTTTCTTAGCAGCCAAGAAAAAAACACAGATTGAAGTTCCTTTTTTTTTTACCTGTTTTAGCCTAGGGATATATATTATATGTGCCTTAGTTAAAAAAAATTAAAGACAACATTGGATATTCCACATGGCACAATGCACCAGCTCGCTTTTGTCTGACCACCCCTCTTTCTTTTCTACAGGAAAATGGGCGGGACGATTGATGTGATTGGTGGACAGACGGGAGCCATTCGCAGAGTGGAGGGCCGAAGAAGAGAGATCCCAGAGCAGAATCCTATTCAGGTGAGTGCTGGAGTTGAACAGTACCGCTAATTTTCTTTCTCAATATGATGCTGACTTGTATTAAATAGGGTTTGAACAATAAATGTACTTTCAAGTTCAAAACAGTTGTAGATTGTGAGGTAATGAAATCGTTTCACCCTTAAAAACTGTTGGAAACCTAAAGCAATGCTAACCTTTTTGAAACCCATCTTTTGCAAATTAAAGGCAGAAATCTGTTTAGAATCATACAGTAGGAATTGGTTTTAACACTTTCTGTGAATACCGTGCCTGTAAGAACATACGGCTATATACGTTTATAAAAGTTCATTACACTTTATAGCGGTGTTTATAATGCAGTGCAAATTGTTAACATAATGCATTATATAGTGTCAGAGACCAGGGTTGCATAGTAGTACGTGTAACAGTGTTACATAATTAGGATACAAAATAAAGGTTTCCGTTACAGTTACAAAACAAATTACCAGTAATCAGATTATATGTAAATTCTAAAAATCAAATGATTAGCAGTAGGATTACATTCAAATCACGTGCATGCGAAAGATGAGATTTGAAGAGTTTTGAATTGGGGGGGGTACAAAGAAGAAGCCCCCTCACAAGCACCACCTTTTATTCAGCCAGTCTACAGAAATTTTAATAAGTATTTATTTTTATGGCAGAACTATGATCTGCAGTGTTTTCCTGACAATATTTGAATCATTTTCCCTGGTTCAGCATATCACCAGCTTCTACAGCAGTAAAATAATCTGGAAATGAACTCTTTGTTCTTGTTCAGGAACCCACTCTCCCTGAATGCTGATGCTCTGCGGTAAAATAATGTCTTCCAAACCTGACAGAACCTATTTTGATTGTTTCTAGTAAAACTACACCAAGGGAAATTTTACTCAGTGCTGTAAATGTTTACCAGGCACAAATCACATTCACAGAAATGAAATTTACTAATTATTTTGTTTTTGAACTATGTTTCATAACAGTATGAAGCACACAGTAATTGATATGCATTGCATTTACCTGAGTTTATGTTGTTTATTAATTCTGCCAAGATTAAGGCCCAATCCCATTTCTTATTTTTACCTCACTCCTTATTTTCAAGTGTCACCTTACTCCTTAAGGGGTAACAAGGGGTAACATTAGTGGTTGAAATCTTCCCCTATGAAATGTGACAACAAATAAAGAAGAGCATTACTTCATTAACAGCTACTAGCGCTACTCAGTAGGCAACACTGCCAGTCTGCAGTGACAGCAGAGGAGGGTAAAGTTCAGCAACCTCACTGCTCGGCTGCAGGTAAAATATTTAGGGCATTTAGAGCATCCAGGGTATCATATGCCTTCAAAGGGAGAAGACAATTACTTATTATCGCCCACTGCTAATTCTTTGGTGATATGAAACTGAAGTCAGATATTCACCAGCTTCTCGTTCAAGTTTTCCTGTTCCACCTTAAGTGGAGCAGAAGTTACATTCTGGCGGCTCAGGTTTCAGAACTGGTGCGGCATTTAAGGTGGAATGGGAAATTTAGCTAGCTTTCTACTAAGACATCAGCAAACTACTAGCGATTTTTTAATTTTATTATGAAGAAAAGGACCATAATGTATTGAAACCACATTATACTAAGGTAATACAATAGTTAATGAAATTTTTAACAGAAAAAATTCTTGCATTTGTGTGTTTCTTTGGTCATGTGTGTAGCCATCTTGCCAGTTTTTCTTTTTTTCTCATAACACTGTTTGGAGTGTGTTTATGAAAAACCTCCGTTTGGAGGGTCATGTAGCCCTAACACTTCGCCCCACCCCTCTATCTCAACAAAAATTGGGGCACTCTACACCTAGATGTGAATGCACAAAACGGAGGGGTAAGGGCTGTGTGGTAGGGGCAAAGGGTGAAATGGGACCAGGCACAAGAATCAGTATCACCGAGACAATAATGCTGGTGTACTGATGTATCAGTATTTCACCAGCACTACAGAAACTCTACAGCAGCACTGTGGTGGCACTGTTGGGGGCTGTTGGCAGTAATTTTTAAATTAATTTTATTTACTACAAAACTTCACTACAATACATAGATATTTAACTAACAAATAATTCTTAATCTGAGAAAAATTTAAAATTCTGACAGTTATTTGCAAAAATAAAACATCAAAAATATCAAAATATTTAGGTGGAGCTCAGCATGACTTGCATAGCTAGCATAATTAAAATTTTGTTTATCTTTGAAGTGCCAGGCAATGCAAAACGCTTCTATTTGGCCATATGAAAATGATCTGTCATGGATAAATGGCCATTTACTTTGTGTGTGTGATCATACAGCCAGGTGGAACTGGTAATTTTGTTCTCTCTGCCTGCATTTGAAATGACCAGGCTGGTTAAATCTTCAACAGCTTTTGTGTTCAATGAGTCTCAAAAGTTTGGGCATGCCTGCCCAATGGGTAAAGCCCATTCAAAGTTACAGCTCAACACAGACGACACTGCTTCTGATGTAAATGCAGGTCTGAGACTGTTACTAATAAACTGTTCTCAGTCCTATTCTTTGACTGATAGCCGTCGTTCAGAATCCCATTTCCTGATCCCACAGCAGACGTGACACCACAGGGTTGGACCTTTGCTATGATAATTACAGGTTAAAGTTTAAGTTAAAGGGGAATTCCATCAGTTTTTAAGAATTACTGCATAATTAAATTGTTCAGGAGAACAATTTCCAGTGGGGAATTTCAATTTAGGCCATAAATATGCTTGAAAATTGAATCCTTGGACTGTAAAGAAACTCTCTTGACAACTTGCAGGTTCTGGGTGATCATGGCAACAAGACCCAGCCCCTGACTCCACCCACAGCTCCGCCTCCCCTCCCCCCTATAGGAGTTCCACCACCACACTTTCTGCATCGCCCACCTCCGGTCTCCGGTATGCCCCCACCCATGCAGCCTCCAGGTAAAAAATCCCACCAGTTCAGTAGTGCTGGGCTGTACTGATAATGATCAATAGCGTGATATTACATATCAAGTGTTAATTATAATAACATTAATAAGGTTAATGATCTCAGGCTTCACGAGTGCTGCAAACAAACCTGACAGAACTTCTTTAGATTGGACTGGATTTACTTATTTATTTTAACGTTTTAACGCTATTTTAACAGACAGAAACCATATTTACAGACAGAAGACCTGTCGTTGGGCTCCGTTTGCACAATGAAAACAATGTTAATTTATTATAAATACTTTCTGATGAAGCTTATCTTGTCCTATAGCTCATATAGCTATAACACATATAGCTTATTATATATAAATTCAAGCAAATAAGACAAATTTGATTAATCATGATTACCTACACAAAAGTATGCGATTACTAATGATTAATTACACAATTAAAAAAGATGATTCTTTAAGGATTCTTTAGTAAAGAAAATGGTTCTATATAGATGAACACTCAAACAACAGTTTGCATGAATAAAGGGTCCCTTGCATCATTAAATGGTTCTTCAGATTGATGGAGAGTCTTTTTAAAAAGGGTTCTATATAGCTTCAAAAAGGGTTACAGGCTTGTCACTGTAACAATAGAAGAACGCTTTTTGGTGCTATATAGAACCCTTTTAAAATAGCTTCTGCATAGAACCATCTACAGCACCTTCAGTTCATCAGTCTGAAGAACCATTTCACAATGCAAAAACCTTTTAATCATGCGAAGTGTTCTTTGAGTGTTCATGGATCTATATAGAACCATTTTCTTTACTAAAGAACTGTTAAAGAACCTTCATTTTTAAGAGTGCACTGTAATCATTCCACAGCACAAATTTAAAATACATTCACACTATAATCCGTATGTAAAGTGCTGTGGGTGAAAGACAGAGGGAATCTCTACAGATGCTAGCTGTCTTATAATCTTTACATGCAGTCGTGTGCAAAAGTTTCAAAATGAAATTGTTGATTTTGTAAGTGAAAATATGTGAACACATGCTTTGCAGAGAACAAACTTGCACATTTTAGTGTGCAATTTTATTTGTATATGTTAAAAAATGTACAACAAAAATGTGCCGTAACTTTTGCCATTTTCCCCTCCAAAAATGTTCATCAAATAAACATTTATTGTGTATTAAAATTGCAGAAGTGTGTCTCTGTAGAGAATGCGTTCACTTATTTACACTTCAACAAAATGTGTCATTTGAGGTGCACAAACTTTTGCTCATAGCAGTAGATCAGATAGTTTGATAAATAATTAGATAAATAATGATCAACTCAAAATATAATTAAAGTTTCCATTTATTTAGTGAATAATACTTGGGATTCCGTTGTAACGTATACTCTTATAGTGTGAAGAAGATGATGATGATGATGATGATGATGATTATGATTATGATGATGATGATGATGATTATGATGATGATGATGATGGTGATAATGATGATAATGATAAAGATGATGATTAAGATGATAATGATGATGATGGTGATGGTGATAATGATGATGATGATGATGATGATGAAGATGATGATGATGATGATGAAGATGAAGAAGATGATGATGATGATGATAATGATGATGATGATGATGTCTCCTCCACAGGTATTCCTCCACCTGCCCTTCCAGGTGAGCATCCAGAACAAAATAACAGTGAAAAGGTGAAAACTGAATGACGTGCTGTTGTCAGTGAAAGTGAATGCAGTCTGCCTTAGAGGGTTGATTTTAACTGCAGCTGGTCAGACATATTGGTGGAAATGCTTGCATGACTGTATCTATGTGATGTACGTGATACACATTGTGTGTTATTTATGTTTCTTTACTAATGCAGAATGTCAGGCCTACATTAGATATGAGGAGCAATATCGCTCATAATGTTTAATTGCACAGAGCTCAGAAGTTTGACTGACATGAAAATCAAGCTGTTTTGTTTTTTCATCTGCAGGTATGTTCCCTCCGCCTCTGGTCCCTCCACCAAACCTAATGATGCCGCCTGTCAACAGGTCAGTGACTGTGCGCACATAATAATAATAATAATGATAATAATAATGATAATAATAATAATAATATTGTTTAGTAAAAAAATGGTTCTAATGAACACTCAAAGAACTCTTCACATGAATAGAGTTTCTTGCATCACTGAATGTGTTGTATATGCTTCTATATAGAACCTTTAAAAAAGGGTTCTATATAGCACCAAAAAGGGTTACAGACTTGACACTGTAACAGTAGAGGAACCCTTTTTGGTGAACAATCTACAGCAACTTCAGTTCATCAGTCTGAAGAACCATTTCACAATGCAAAGAGCCTTCTAATCATGCAAAGTGTTCTTTGAATGTTCATATATATATATATATATATATATATATATATATATATGCACACACACACACACACACACACCCACACACACACCCATACATAAATATATATATATATATATGTATATAAATATATATATAACTTTCTTTACTAAAGAACCCTTGAAGAACCTTAATTTTTAAGAGTGTACTGTAATCATTCTACAGCACAAATTGTAAATTTGTTCCTGCTACCATCCATATGTAAAGTGCTGTGAGTGAAAGACAGGTGAAATCTCTAGCAATAATAATAATAATAATAATAATAATAACAATAATAATAATAATAGCCCTGTGATGGACTGGCGACCTGTCCAGGGTGTATCCTGCCTTCCGCCCAATGACAGCTGGGATAGGCTCCAGCACCCCACCGCGACCCAGAAGGATAAGCGGTTTAGATGATGTATGTATGTATGTATGTATGTATGTATAATAATAATAGTCTGTGTTTACACAGCACTTTTCATCTCAGTTACATAATGCCATAGTGCATTACACAGCAATATAAGGTGACAAACTTTCTGCAAATTTTAGTGCGCAATTTGTTGAATTTACTATATTAAAAATAAAACATACAGTATAAAATGTGCCATAACTTTTCTACAGGCCACAAAATGTTAAATTAATCAAATAAAGCGTAATTGAAATTAAAATGTGCAGAGGTGTGTTCTCTGTAGAGGATGTGTTGACTTCTTACTTAGAAAATCAACAAAACATCGTTTGACCAGGGGCGCACAAACTTAATAAATAATTAATAATCTGATAAATAATAATTATCAACTGAAAGCAATAATTAGAATTTTCTATTTATTTGGTTCTTAGAGAGTGATGATGATGATGATAGTAGTCATAATAACAATAATAATAATAATAATAATAATAATTATAATTATTATTATTATTATTATTATTATTATTGTTATTATTACTATTATTATTATTATTATGATCAAGTATTGACTATGAATTATTCAGTCCAACATTCAGGGTCTTACAGTTGTTAAAGCAAGTGATAAGTGATTTATTATTAAGTAACTTTGATTAACATTTAAGCACCTGCTATGAAATATTCAGTATCTACTATGAATTATTTCGTGCTGTAATTTATTCAGTAACATCTACAAATTGTTTAGAATCTTCTATGAACCATCTAAAATACTTTATTCAGTAAAATCTATGAATAATCCAGTATTGATTATGAGTTATTCAGTGTCTACTGTGAATAATTTAAAAACTAATATGAATGTTTCAGACCCACATTCAGGGTCTTACAGTTAGTGCAGTTTAAGCAAGTAATTAATGATTTACTATTGATTTACTACGTATTAAAAATAAAGTGTTAGAGGAATAATTTTTATTTAAGCGCAGTATGATCCTAATTGTGCATCTACTAAACTCTCTTTCCCCAAACAGTCGATGTCCGTCCTCAGGCTATGCTAACAGAGCGCCCCCTCCTTTTGGATACAGCAGTGGAGGTAATGATAATATGATGAGTTTTTCATTGTTACTTCTAAAGCAAGTAAGAGAAAAGAGCCTTTGGCTTCAGACCCATAGTAGGGCTTTTTGTAACATATCGCTGTTGTTAGAAGAAAACCTTGTATCTCCATTTTTGACGTTTTTCAGTTTTTGACATAATTTGAAAATACCCGTGGTCATATATATTGTGTGTGAATTTCGTGATGAATGGACCCACAGAAATGACCCAAAATTACTTGGGAAAATGTCTGGTTCCATTGACTTACATTAAAAGTAAAGTAGGTTTTTTCCTTTTCCTGTAAAGTTGTCATTTTGGAGATATGAGGTTTTCTTCCGACAATGGTGACATATTGCAAGATATTAGGGGGCCGTATTACGGAAAGCTTAATTTTCCTTATGTTTCAAAACAAATAGTTCAATGTAGAATGTAAATATTGGTAATGTTTCAAAACGTACCATCCATACAGTCCATATATGGAAACTCAGCTGCAAAAACAGCCTGTTTTGGATTCACTGATTTTGTGATGTCACAAAACCCCAACACATTTATTTTTATCCAACTATTCAGCCTACAGCAGTTAAGCTCCGCCCACTCATGCTGAAGTTATAAGGGGTGTTTCAGACTGGACTCCTTCTTGAATGAGCCACAGTACAGGGCAGCCAATCAGAACAGAGCTCATATATCAGTCTTAAAGGCACAGTAACAAAAATAGCCTGTCTTTTTCGCAGAGCCGAACTTCATCAGCTATCCTCCGGTCTCCTCCTCACATATGCAGTGGGGTGGAGTGATGGAGAAGAGCGCAGGAGGAGGAGGAGGAGGAGGAGGGGGTGGACACTGGGAGCACTCCCGACGAGAACGAGAGAGAGAGAGAGAAAGAGAGATGGACAGAGAAAGAGAGACAGAAAGGAGGGAGCGAACGCCCACCACAAATGAATATATGTGAGTGTAACTGGTCAAGAACATTTTTCCCCAGTGCGTTCATATCCATACGGAAATCTGATCTATGGCAATATATGAATTTCACATATATGACGTTAATTAGCATATATGAACCTCCCTTATATCCAACTTATATTTGGCCCTGTATGGACATACATGTGACTTGTATGCCAACTTATTTGAAATTGCCTGTTTTCAAATATGGGACACATTTCACAGTTACAAACATATATGTGTAGCATGTGTATTTAAAAAGATATGATAGAAAACGTTGCTCATATATGGATGGAATATATTACTCATATATGCTAGCTTCATATTATATACGTTTCTTTTATATGTCATTTGGATTTTTTGCTTTTTTTTGCTTTGGTGTTTGTGTCCAACACGTAACAGATATACAGTATATGTATGATCCATATTTTATGCGTGCATGCATAAAATTCAGCCACCTGTCAGCCATATACACCGATCAGGCACAACATTATGACCACCTCCTTGTTTCTGTGCTCATTGTCCATTTTATCAGCTCCACTTACTGTATAGGTGCACTTTGTAGTTCTACAGTTACAGACTGTAGTCCATCTGTTTCTCTGCATACTTTGTTAGTGGATCAGATACAGCAGTGCTGCTGGAGTTTTTAAATACTGTGTCCACTCACTGTCCACTCTTTTAGACACTCCTACCTTGTCAATCCACCTTGTAGATGTAAAGTCAGAGACGACAGCTCATCTGCTGCTGCATAGTTTGTGTTGGTCATCCTCTAGTCCTTCATCAGTGGTCACAGGAAGCTGCCCACAGGACACTGTTGGCTGGATATTTTTGGTTGGTGGACTATTCTCAGTCCAGCAGTGACACTGAGGTGTTTAAAAACTCCAGCAGCAGTATCTGATCCACTCAGACCAGCGCAACACTAACACACCACCACCACGTCAGTGTTACTGCAGTGCTGAGAATGATCCACCACCCAAATAGTACCTGCTCTATGAGGGTCCATGGGGGTTCTGACCACTGAAGAACAGGGTAAAAGGGGGCTAACAAAGTATGCAGAGAAACAGATGGACTACAGTCTGTAACTGTAGAACTACAAAGTGCACCTATATAGTAAGTGAAGCTGATAAAATGGAAAATGAGCGTAGAAACAAGGAGGTGGTCATAATGTTATGCCTGATCAGTGTATACATGATCCATATATTATGCATTTATGCCCAGTATTTGATACTTACATATATAGTATGTACACTACGTATATGGCCATATTTTGAAATATTTGCCTAACCTTTTAATGATTTATGTGCCAATGTGGCCATGCATCAGATTTTGCTTATAACAGACTGCTTGCTGTTTCTGGGACAGCGCTTTGTTTTCGCACATACACAGACTGAGAGAAACGAAAGAAATCAGAGTAAGGGTTCACATGCACTGAAACACCCCATTACTGAGCTCAAATCCAGTTCTCTGTATTAGATTTCTTAATCTGAGTTCTAGACCTAATCTGATCTAAGAAATCAGACAATTTAATAATCAGATAACTGCAGAAATCAGATTATTAACACACTCATTGTGAGAGTATGTGAAAGAGTAAGTAGCTGACTGAGTGAGAGTGAAGCTAACACAGAACTCTATTATTCCCCCTCGCGCTGCTGCTGCTGAATGGAGCACAGTGAGGAGGAGCGCTATCGCTATTACGCTCGCGAGAGCGAGAGAGAGTACGAACGCTTCCATCACCCTCGCGCGAGCAGCCGGGGGAGAGAGGAGCACACTGGGAGAGAGAGACGACACAGAGAGAAGGAAGAGAGCGGAAAACACAAGTCTTCCAAACGGTGAGAAAAACTTTGATGAAACTGTTACTGAGCATTGATTGGTTGTCATTATAGCTACTGAGTGCTGATTGGATAGCATTATTGCTGCAAAGTGCTGATTGGTAGGCATTACCACTGCTGAGTATTGATTGGTTGGCATTACTGCTACTGAATACTGATTGGTTGGCATTACTGCTGCTGAGTACTGATTGGTTGGCATTACTGCTGCTGAGAACTGATTGGTGGCATTACTGCTTCAGAGTACTGATTGGTTGGCATTACCGCTGCTGAGTACTGATTGGTTGGCATTACCGCTGCCGAGTACTGATTGATTGGCATTACCGCTGCTGAGTACTGATTGGTGGCATTCCCGCTGCCGAATACTGATTGGTTGGCATTACCGCTGCTGAGTACTGATTGGTTGGCATTATAGCTACTGAGTGCTGATTGGATAGCATTATTGCTGCAAAGTGCTGATTGGTTGGCATTACTGCTGCTGAATACTGATTGGTTGGCATCACTGCTGCTGAGTACTGGTGAGCTGATCAACTCAAGCAGTTTGTGCTCACCTCTTGAATGTACATGGACAGGAAATGAACATATTCTTCTATATAAAATGTTTAAGCATTTAGAAACTATTATTTTGCTTGAATGCTCCATATTAACCCATTCATTTTGGACTGGCTTGGGAGCGCCCTCTAGTGTTTGACAAACCCAGAAGACATTACTGACGTGGCAGTTTCTCCTCTCTACACATTCTCTGACAACAGTGCATCATGCAATGTCAAAAACCACAAATGTGTTGGTTTCTTTATTTGTTGGTTGGTTTTATTTATTATTTTAGGGAGCTTCTTAACATCTGGCCAGATACAACTCATAAAAACTATTTTAAATTAGCATTTTGTGCTAATTCTAGATAAATTACAGGTCTGTTGATTCTGTTTATTAATGGCCACTCTCCTTGACAAATAAATTAGCAAAGAAATAATAAATAAAATAAAATAAGCAAGTGTATTTGTGATTACTGAACAACTCAACAATAATTTAAGCCTGCAGTTCGCACAGTGCTAATCTAGCGACTGTAAGCTTCTATTACTAGTTAGCTACATTAGCCTCACAGCTCCAGTAACTACAGAAGCAAACTTCAGACATCATACATGTGGTGAGCGATCGTCTGCAGTGGGGAAGAGGCGGAAATTGCATACATGAGATTTTCTTGACTACTTCAGGTCAGGAACGGAATCTTTTGATGTTGTTGATTAACGTCAGCCATGTCCTGATCCACACGCTGTAAAATAACCAGACTCTTTTTCTCGTCTGCAGCAAACAGCACGACGACGACGGAGACGGCCACCGCAGACACAAACACAAAAAGAACAAACGCAGCAAAGAAGAGAGAGCAGCGGAGGACGCAGGTGGACCAGGAGACGAACACGAACACAAGGACTAAATACACCACCAGCAAATGCTGATACTTAGTAGTTGTAGTTAACCAAGCCTTCTGCAGTTTTATATGGATTATTTCTGACTAATTTCTGACAAGTGGATAAATTGTGTGGAAAGTGCAGATCCTAAACCTTCAGTCCAAACCGCATTAGTGTTTGTAAGTAGAAGAGATTAAGTAGAAAATTATAGTAGAATCTTGTTTCTGTAATTTTTTGACATAAAAAAATTACAAAATAATAACTACGTAACTAAATTTGCAATAACATAATTGCATTTAAATAGAGCAAAACTACACTGATAATTCAGGATTCTACAGGATCAACACATCAGTTACCAATGGATATCCAGTCCTTTAGGAATCGGTGTTGGTAATGACAGATGATCTAAAGATACTCATGTGTTTAAAAGTTTAGGGTTATTTTGTGATACATTTAATTCTGTAATTATGCAGTTACTTACCTGGTTACTTAATGAATCACATTTTTATTTGATTGACATTCTGTATTGACCACACTAACACACCAGAACCACGTCAGTGTTACTGCAGTGCTGAGAACGACCTTAATCTGTTCTAGTTCTAGACCTTAATCTGATCTAAGAAATCAGACCACTTAATAATGAGATAACTGCAGAAATCAGATTATCAATACATTCATTGTCAGAGTATGTGAAACAGTAGCTGGCCGAGTGAGAGTGAAGCTAACACAGCTCTGTTATCCCCCCTCGCGCTGCTGCTGCTGAATGGAGCACAGTGAGTAGGATACTCGTGTGTTTAATAGTTTAGGGTTATTTTGTGATGCATTTAATTATGTAATTATGCAGTTACTTACCTGGTTACTTAATGAATCACATTTTTATTTGATCGACATTCTGTATTGACCAGTTCAAGTCAGCGCTTGTGAGTTTTTCCTGATTTCTTTGGGAAAAAAAAAAACATGGCTCTAATATTAGTGGCCGAAACCGAAATTTAAGACATGCTTAGAGGAAAAACGAATTGATATAAAATAGACAAACTAAAATTACTACAGTATATAGGCTACAGAATGTACTAATCCAACGTCCTCAACAACAGGCAAGGCAATGAATTTTTCAGGTATACTTCACATTTTGGCTGTCAAAAATTGTGTCTGCAGATTCGGTGGCGCAGTGGGTAGTGCTGTCGCCTCACAGCAAGCAGGGCCTGGGTTTGATTCCCAGCCGGGCGTCCGGGTCCTTTCTGTGTGGGGTTTGGTGTGTGGTTTGCATGTTCTCCCTGTGTCTGTGTCAGTCCAAAGACATGCAGTCAGACTAGTTGGAGATGCTATATTGCCTCTAGGTGTGGGTGTGAATGTATATGTTTGTGTGTCTGACCTGTGATGGACTGACAATCTGTCCAAGGTGTTTCCTGCCTTCCGCCCAATGACAGCAGGGATAGTCTCCAGCACCCCCCGCAACCCAGAAGGATAAGCGGCTTAGAAAATGTGTGTGTCTGCAGATTGTGTTGGAGACTCTCCATTTTGCTTCTTCCTGCTCCCTCCTAATACTTAGAATGAACAGTGATTGCAGATCTCATCTGATGTCTGATTTTTTCACTGTTGATCTGCTGTTGTTCAGACATTCTGAAAGCTAAGGCAACAAACAGCATTTCAATCACAATTTCTCAATTTCATTGCCATTAAAAGGATTTGTGATTTTGGCACTTCATTATAGACATACTTCATCAAAATTTTGGCCATTTTTCTCTTTTGGATGAAAACTAAAAGTTTTTTTTACCATTTCCAGACAAAACTTTTCAGTGGCTGAAATTTCAGGGCATCCCTAAATAATATAAAGGGTGGTTCAGGCTCCATAATTAAATCATCACCCTGGCATCCAGAAACAACAGAGGGGCCAGGAGAGCAGCACATCCAAAAAATAGGGTTGGCCCTATCGTCAATAATAATTAAATAATAATAATTGTCCTCGCTCTTTCTGGGTGGGTAGGATGGTCCTCCCACCTGGTTGGGCTTCACGTATCTTGGAGGGTGCTCTTGCTAGTCACCCCCTACCACTTGAGGTGTAGTGGGGCATGATGATTAGTCAGTGGGGCATAACCCCACTAAATGACCCCCTGTCTCCAAGGCTGGGATGGTTTTACTATCTGCAAATTCAAATCATAATAATAAAATATCTCTTCTTCTACTTATAAACACAATTGTGGTGTGAATTCTGCACTTCCTTAGTTGTTGAGGTTTGCAAATAATATAAAATTACAACATGCTGTTTTCTATTGCTGGCTATAACTGCAACTTCTAAGTGTTATTACTGTTTTAGAGTTACATTTGAAAGTAGAGAAATGTTTTTGTATGTCTAGAATCAGCAGTGACAGTTGGAGAGTTAGCGGTAATGGAGAGTTAGCGCTGAGAAAGGCTGTGAAACCGATATTGTTCTAAAGCAATGTTTTAGTATAGAGCTTTTTTAGACTTTTCCTTGGGCATTCTAGTTTCGTTGACGTCTTCCCAAGCTCTCTGTCTGTGACTTTTTTACGCATAACAACTGTATATTGTATATTGAGACATTTTTCAAATCTCACTTAGTCAGATGAGAGACTTTAAATGGAAAAACGGACAAACGTACAAGCTAAATTCAGGCTTAATGGTGGCTGCTATTATGGTTTCACCTGTACGTTAGCTATTTTTGGCCATTTTTTGTAGTCATACAGCGTCAGATAAAGCAGATAAGCATGTCTGTTGGAGATGATTGAGGCATGCAATTTGCACGATGCTAATTGCTAATTCCGTTACTTGTTCACTACATTAACCTTGTAGCTCTAGTGAAAAACAAAATAGGCAAACTTCAGACGTTAGAAATATCTTGGCTAATTGACCACATTTGGAGTAAAACTGTGTAAATCTGATGTTTTGCTGAAATATTCCTTTAATTTTACGCTCCAAACTGTAACACTGGTTTACTAAGATCTACTGTAACTCACTGATCTGATATAGATCAAACATTCATATATGTTTTTTGAAATATTGTGTCCTAATTTGTGTTATACATGTAACAGGGAGCACTCTCAGTTCTACATCATTGTCCCTGTCATATTAAAACCTCCAATATCTACATAATTCAGTGTTTGAGATGTGAACAGAGTCATTCAGAGTGGTTTGGTGTGAAATGGTTCAGATTTCTTTACAGTGGTGGTGATAGGAACCAGGGATAGCCATTGTAATTACTGTCCAAAACCACCAGAGAACCTACACAATCTTCTGAGTTTTTATAGTAAAATACTGGAAAATGTGAAAAAAATACATTTTTTTTCTTCGGGGATTGTTTTGCCTCACAACACCCAGCATATACCCGAATGGGCAGAAAAATGTTTTAGGCCAAAATCGTGATAGATATTCATAACTAGACAGTGCATTCATAACCGTGTCATGTAATAACTTTCTGTAAGGGAGACTTTTAGAGGTGGACGTCTGGTTCCTGTCACCACCACTGTGAACAACTCTGACTCTGCAAGTTTCTCTAGAACAGAGCATTTCACACCAAACCACTCTGAACGACTCTGTTTACATCTTAGTTCTTTATTATGCACACATTTTGAAAAACTGATGGAATTCTCCTTTAATTTATGTTAATGTAGCCCATTTCTGTAGGTTAATTCATCATGATATGTTCATGTAATTTAAAGGGCAGCTGGCGTTTTCAAAAAGTGTAAAAAAGTTTGATATGACTGTGACAGTATGTTACTTTCATGATGGTTACTTACAGCAATCCTTCTATGTAGCATTATATAATGTATGTTATGTAGATATAATATCATGGCTGTTTCTTTGTATTCACTAAACCCTAGAAATAGCATTATCTGAAGGCTTTAACGTTTAGAATATTGCTCAGTATGTTTTAAAATCCCCCAGAATAGGCTTACTATTTTTGTGTCCTCTTTATTATTGTATTGCACTAGTTCTTGCATGGCCCTAAAGCCATAGCCTTGCAGAGTTTTAAAACTTTCTAGTGAGAAATTGTGCTAATGCACTGAGTTTGGTTTATTTCTGAAGCACATTTACTGCTATTATTACATAATAATATAGAAATATCAGAAGGGACAGCACATGCATTTATGCTCACGGACCAAATGTATTTGTGATAACTTATTTAAAGATGCAAAGTAAAATATGAATTCAAATATGGTGTTTTTTGAGCTTTTCTACATGAAAACTGTTTAGTGTAACCAGTTATTGACTGAGGCAAGAAGGACAACACCAGCATTTCATGTTGTCGCTTAATTCCAAAATATATATAAGTCAAAGACTGACCTTCATTTATTTAACATGTGTTGCAGAAAACTAAATGTTCCTAAAGAAATAAGAATAAGAATTTGATTTAACAGACCAGCCAACCTTGGGAAAATATTTTACGTAGCACAATAGTGCACAATAGTGTAATGCTTTAAAAAAAAAAAAGGCAAATAAAACATAAAAAAAATAAAAACAAACAAAAAAATAAAATAAAAAACCTTAACATCGAAAAAAAAAACTCCCCACTTGCCACCATAGCATCAAGTTTGGTTATTCAACAAGGTCTGCTGCTCTTTCTCCCCTGTCAGTGTCCTCCTCACATGACGTCATGTTTATTTTAACTGTAAGGGACACACACACACACTCACACACACACACTCACACATGCACACACACCTCCCAGTAACTTTCTAGGTAATGTTATTTCTGCGGTACATGCACTCGATTACGGGTTTTGCCTCAATAACAATTATGAATACATTACTGTGAAAAGTCTTGTTTAACAATCTGCGATACATGGACAATATAACAATGTTGCTTTGCCAACATACCTGGTGATGTATATATATATATATATATATATATATATGTTAGTTTGTCCCCATGCCGTTCCTAATAACCCTTAAAGGATAATTCTGCCGCATTCTAAAGTTCTTCATTATTCAGTGTTTGAGATGTAAACGGAGTCATTCAGAGTGGTTTGGTGTGAAATGGGTTAGATGTCTTTACAGTGGTGGTGATAGGAACCAGGGGTCGCCATGACTACAACACAAATATAGCCATTTTATTTACTGTCCAAAACCAGCAGTGAAACTACACGTGTCTTCTGATTTTTATATGGAATGTTAATGATGGTAAAAGAGTGATGAACCTGAAAAAACATGTTTTATTTGTGGACTATTTTGCCTCACAGCGCACTGCATGTATCCCTCCACCATCAATGGATTTTGAAAAAAATGCTGTCAACCACAATCTTCTCAAAACTATCATAAAATAATGTCTCAGGCGTCTCTAGATGATGAATCATTCATCATAACCATTTCATGTAATAACTTTCTGTGTGGGAGCTTTTAGAGGCAGACGTCTGGTTCCTGTCACCACCACTGTGAACAGTACTGACTCTACAAGTTTCTCTAGAACTATGTACATCTTAACCATGAAATTATGCAGGAATTTAGAAAGATCAGTGGAATTCCCCTTTAATCCATATTAGACTACCTTACTATCCATGGTAAAACTAACTTGATCGGCATGTTGCTTTTAGTTAGCTACTCCTGCACTTAACAGTGTTCCAATGCACAGCCTTGACTTTTGGCTTAAGTTAATCTAGCTGAGAGTTTCCATACTGAAAAATAGTACAGTGGTTCCTTAAGGATTCTGTTACTAGGCCTGAGTTCAGGGTCAGAACGTTCGTCAAAGTCAGAAATGGCACAAAGGAATTTTCCCTGCTTTACTAATAGCATGAAGCAAACCAGCTGGTTCAGGATCAGACATTTGTGTACAAAATAGATGGCACTCAAGCATTGAGTCAGAGTCAGAGAGTCAGTTCAATCTGTCCTTTAACTGGGACCAGTTTCACCACTTTTCACACCTTAATCTAGGTGTCAGTCTCTGTACAGAGGCAGCTTCACTGCAATGACACAAGGCCTCAGCCATAGCCATGCAAAGGACACAGGACAAAAGCCCTTGTACTGAACTCTATTCTTGGCTGACTTTGCACTACAGTGTCAGCTGAGAATGTCCACCGTGTTCACGGTTCAGGACTATATATATACAACTTGGCAGGACATTATCCAGTCATGTGATTTAACCCTTCATTCAGACAGTGACATAAACTTTATTTTGTTCATAGCTGGCCTGCATACAAAAACAGTGGATAGACATTCATATTTAAAATTAATACAGCTTCACCCACATGTAGGCCTGAGATATTTGTTTTTAGTACTGCTTAAAAACCAAAAGATGCTGAAGTAGCTGAGTTTCATTTCTTTC